CATTTTGTTTATGTTTATTCAGTTATCTGTTGATGGACCCTTGTGTTGATTTCACCTTTTAGCTATGCTGTTACGAACATAAGTTAGAAAAATCTCTTTGAGACCTCGTTTTCAATTCTTTTGGGCATATATATTCAGAACTGGGATTGCTAGATCATATAGCAATTAAATTAAATTTTTTAAGAACCCCACCTTACAGTTTTCCATAGTGGCTGCACCATTTTACATTTCCTACCAACAGTGCAGAAGGATTCCAGTTTCTCCACATCCTCATCAACAATTATTTTCTCTTTCTCCCTTCTTCTTCTCCCTTTCCCTCTTCCCTTCCCCCTCTCCCTCCGCTCCTCCTCCTCCTCCTCCGCCTCCTCTTCCTCCTCCTCCTTCCTTTTCCTCTCTCTCTCTCTCTCTCCCTCTTTTTTATAATAATCATCCTAATGAGTGTAAGGTGATATCTCATTTTGGTTTGCCTTTTTCTAATGATTAGTGATACTGAGCACCTTTTCATGCATTTTTTGGCTATTTGTGTATCTTTGGAGAAATGTCCGTTCAAGTCTTTTGCACATTTTTAAATTGGTTGTTTGTTTCTTTTGTAGAATTTTAGTCTTTTTTGTTATGCATTGTTAAAATTTGGTGTGAGCACTTGATGCACATAATTTTGTGCTTGTTTCATTTAAGATTATTAGTATTTTTCTGTGCTATTAATATCTACATACTATATTAAGTGGATGTACCATAATTCATTTAACTATTCCCTGTTGGTAGATGCTTAATTTGTTTCCAGTTTTTTTTGCTGTTACATAACTTTTTGAAGTTTCATAGTGTAGAATTTTATTTGTAATAGAATTACTAGGACAAAAGGCATAAACATTTTTTTTTAATTTAGGGTACATTGAAAACAACTTACAAACAATTGGAAAATGTAGAAAAGTAGAAATACTGTTAAGGCTCTTGATATATACTGCCAATTTACTTATTTTTCTTATTTTTTACTAATTTACACTTGTAGCAGATTTGTGTGTGAGTATATAATACCTAATATCTATTATATCATATTTCCAGAAATATCAAGATGATATCAGAAATTTTTTAGAGAGCTTCTTGAAAAAGAAGCCTTTGAAAATGAAACTACTTCAAAGAGCTTTTACCTTTCTATTTGAGGTATTACTTTCATGGACTCCGTGCCGAAAAATACTAGGGGTCCATTCTGATTCTGTGAGAATATTCCAGAATAAGGATTTTACTACTAGCCCTTTGAATTATTCCACACTGTTAGAAGGGATACCCCTGAAAGTATTTATGTAACTATATTGCTTAACTTACAGTAAAATAGTCAAGAAGAGCATAAACTAGTAAAGAATATATTAAATAAATAATAATGAATATTTATAAAATCAATGAAAGTACCAAATTACCACTGGAGAGTAAAGAGGCCTCCCCCTACCTTTTAAAAATCATTCATTCTTCAGAAAGAAATCCTGGTGAGATGAAAGCAGCATAAGAGAAATGTTTATAAAACCTTTTTGTTATTGTTATAGAAAATCAGTGTGGCTTTATCAGTTATAAAGGCAACTTCAGAGATAAACACAAAATCTCACATGTGTAGAGAACCTACCAATCACATTGTAGAAGGTTAAATCACTAGGATAAAATGTAGTTCCTACTAAAATTTATCAGTATATGCTTTTCTTCAATATATGAAACTCAGATATAATAAAAATTTTCTGTCATATCACATTCAACAATATCTTTTTTAAAAATACAAAGCTGTTTAAAATAGCTGTCATGATGGTGTGAGGTAATATTTGCCCTTTCCACTGTGGTATAGCCCCAGTTTGTTACAGAAACTTGATGACAGTCATAGCGTTTTAAAATTTAATTATTCGATACCACTTTCATTTCAGAGGGGAAAGCCAGGCTTTGGGACCTGGGCCTTTCCTGCTGGCAGTGGTCTTCTTTGTTTTCAGAATATTCTAGTCAGAGTCACTGTAGATTCATCACCAAATATTAGTCATTAAGTCATATAAACAAGGAAGAAACTTTGGAATAAACTATCCAACTTTTATTATACAAGTGAGGAAATATGTTCTATGAGATTAAATGATTAGTTCAAGGTTAACAATAATATATGATGGAGGTAAGATTTCTTACCCAGGTATGTCTTCTGACCCTGTGTTTATTGTTATTCCTAGTTTTGTATTGGTCATTGTTTAGTCAGTGGAAAAAAATGCTTTCTGTGTTTTTTGAATATAGGAGAATTACTAGTTTTATTGATATACAAACATATTTGATGGAGATAGATGATATGATTCCTGAATATATAAAAATGTTTGGAATCTTGTGAAAACTTAAAATTTCCAATCATATTACAGGATGCTACAGATATCTATGATTGATTTCTGTTAAAACTTTTTTGTTACTAAGGAATGAATCATTCTATTTTATATAGTAATAGAGAATAATAACAATTGTTATTTAAATATTCAGACCTACTGGAAACATTGTCAGCTAAGGCTTAAGATGTCATGTAATTTGTGAATTACATGGAAAACTTTAGATTGACTGCTGCAGTTTCTGTGCTTTCTTTTTATGTGAGTGCGATTCACCAGCCAGTTTAAGGACGTATTCATTAATTTCCTTAAGTATTTGTGTAAAGACTTATCAAAATGATTTTCATCGTACTATGCAGTACTTGAAATATAATTCCGTGGAATCATTCTTTTAACTTTTATGATAGGTATGATGAACCTTAAACATTTAAGAGTTATTTTGTTGTACTATACGTATTACAATTTGAAAGGAGGATTTACTTTGAATTAATGTAAAAAAATTTTTTTTAAGTTCAGTGATATTTGAATTAATGGGAAGAAAATAATAGCAAATTTCTAGAACCAAAGAGAATGATTCAAAACTATTATATTGACTTTAGTACTTTGCTTGGAGTTGGAATCATTTTTTAGAAAATATAAGCATTACAGAATATTATAAATATTGTAAATAAAGTTCCATGAAAACTTATGTCATAAGGTTCTGGAAAGCTCTTGATCTTGTTCATCTTTGTTTTGTTTTTTTATTTTATTTTCTTCCTTTTCTTCTCTACATCTACCCCTTACAATCAACTACAATAAAAATTTATCAAGAGAGTCTTAGTAGGAATGAGAATTTGTGAAAGAAGCAACCGAGGGATGCTCTGTGGAAAGAGTGTTAGGAGTGGATAGATAAAATGGTGTAATTGAAAACCTGACTTTGGGAGTCATCCTGCCTGGATACATATACATTGCCTTAGTGACCTTGAGCAAACTTCTTTTCTTTTTTTTAAGAAAATAGATTTTAATTTAAATTCTAGAGTAATACACAAGAAATATAGAGATTATGGAGGAAAAAAGAAGTATAAAAGATTTTTTCTTGATCTTTTTACAAAGTCTTTACAAAGTAATTTTATAATATTATAATTTTAAAATTGCAGCAAAATACACATAATACTTGCATACATATATTTAGTGGGAATATATTTTCCTTTACAAAATTAGAATACTACTGAATATATTTGTATTCTGCATTTAAATATGTTATAGCATGAGTCTTCCCTTTCCAAAATGAGTCTTCCCTTCCCCAAAATATATTCCAAAACCTTGTTTTTAATGACTGCAAATATTTCATCCCAGCAATTCTGAAAGTGTGGGGTCCTCAAGATCATTTTAAGGAGTCTGCAAAGTCTAATATTAACAACATTTCTGTTTGAGTCTAGATTTTCTTCATAAGCTTTAACCAAAACAACATTATCATAACAATCTGAATGTGAAAGCAGATATGAGAGTTCATCTGTTTTTTATTAAGTCAGACATTTACAGAGTTGCAAAAATGTAGAAGCCATCCTCACTAAGGTATATTTTGGAAAATATAGTTATTTTTCATAGAAATGTTATTTATGTCAACCTGTAATGGGTTGTTATTTTTTGAATGAATAGACAAATATTTTTATTTCATAACAGATTTTAATATCTGATATGGTAAATATTGATAGATGTAATACATAAAAGTTCTTTGGGGTTCCCAATAATTTTTAAGAGTGTTAAGGGGTCCTGAGACCAGCAAGTTTGAGGATTTCTCTTTCAACTTATGGATAAGCCATAATTTTTTAAACACTTCTACTATTGTTGATATTTGAGTCGTTTCTTGTTTTTTGCTATTGTAAATAAAGCTGAAGTGAGCATCTGTTTTCTAAAATCTTGGTGTGAGTTTCTTACTGTTTTTTAAGGTAGATTTCTAGAAATAAAGTTACTGATTTGAAGAGTAGAACTTTTTGAAGATTTTTTTGAATGTATATCACTTATTTTTGTTAATTTAAAAATTTTCCAGTTTTAAATTGTCCCACAGTATTATGTTGAACCTGAATCTTCTGTATTGCCAAAAAAATGCCCAGAGTGATTTTTGTTCTTTTATTTTTTTTAAAAATTTCATATCACAGCATTTATTTATTTTTTACTTTTTTTCTGATTTTGCCATCTTGGATCTTTCTCTCTAAGATTCTTTTTTTTTAAAGATTTTATTGGGAAATTGGGGGAGGGGAACATTGTTGGGGAATTGGGGAAGGGGAACAGCGAAGTTGTTGTCCTTCAATCTTAGTTGTGGAGGGCACAGCAAGCTTAGCTCCAAGTCCAGTCGTGCCGCTCAGCTCAAGGTGCTGTGTTCAATTAGTTGCGGGTGGGTGACCATTTCATGTTGGAGTCGAATCAACAGCTTTGTTGTTAAGAACTCACAGTCTATCCCCTGAGCCACCTGGGCAGCAGCTCAGCTCAAGGTGCCAAGTTCAGTCTTTAGTTGCGGGTGGGTATAGCCCACCATTTAAACTGGCAGCCTTGTTAGGAGCACATGCTCTCACCAGCTGAGCCATCCTGCCACCTGTTGGCGGCTCAGCGGCAGCTCAGCTCGGGGGGCGCAGCATCACTGGTCCATTTGGGAATTGAACAGTTGGGCCTGTTGCTCAGAGCTCACACTCTTTGGCAAGCTCTTAACCAACTGAGCCATTCAACTGCCCCCTTTCTAAAGTTCTTGATATGGGATACTTTCTGGAAAGACTTGACTCATTTTTGCTTTCATCAGTTTTGACCACTTCGTGTTACTTAAACTAGTCAATGTAGAATATTACTAATCTTTAAACATTTGCTGATAATAATAATACTAGTTTTCATTTATTAAACCCTTATGATGTGCCAGATATTATGCTAATAACTAGCATGGATTTTGTCATTTAATCTGCACACCTATTTTTTGAGATTCTGTTCTTTTCCTTTTTGAGAAAACAAGCTTAGAGAAGTGAAGTAGTTTTCCTTAAAACCAGCTAATAAATAGTGGAACCAAGATTCACATTGAGGTTTCTGATTCCAAAGCCTCTATTGTGTACAGTAATCTGTTTTTAGGTTAAGCTTTATGTATGTTCTTGCATATAACATACCATACCTTTATGGACTTTATTTTATGTTGCATTATTTCAGCACATTACTGGACTTTTCTCATTTCTGAAATGGTAGAATTCCCTAAGAAGAACTTACTTTTTAGGATGCTTTTGATAAATCCCTTTATAAGTTAACTTTCTCTTCCTTTTAACTCTTACTTGAATTTCTTTCTCTTTACCCTTACTATGACTGAGATGTTTTGGGATGCTGACTTTTATAAACTTAAACAAAATACTTTATTCCTTTCTTGCTTTCAGAAGGAGGCAGTCCCCATGTGTATTAAATATAATTCTAATCCCTTTTTCTAGCACACAATCTAATATAAATTATAATCAACTCTTTATACTGTTGATTTGTATTTGGAGAATGCTGTTATAGAATTTTTTTTTATTAGTTTCAGGTGTACAAAACAATGCAATAGTTTTCCTTTTTTTTTTTTTAACAAAATGTGTAGTCAGATAAATTTGGGAAATGCTGCATACTGACCTCCCTTGTCAAACTACACATTAGCATGTTTGAGACTCTGAGAAGTATTTCCAGAAAGAACCCTTTTTAAAGTTAGTTTTATAGCATTTCACAAACATAATTGGCTACAGAACCTTACTGTGTATTATTCACTACATTATCTTTAGTCTGTCTCAATAACACATTTTCTCTTTTCTGTGAGACGTTCGCTGAATTCTTTAAGACTTTAGGAATATTGAGTAATTTAATTATTGCTTTTATTCCTTAGTTTAGTAACATTGAGTTCCAAGAGAGAAATAAATAATAATTTTATAGTATATGAACTAATATTTGTTATCCAAAAAATGAATAGTTGTTTGTCAGTTTTAAAGTGGTGTACTTTACAAGTGGATTCTTGGATTTATTTTCAAGACACATGGAAATCCATTTAAACTTCATTTCTGCTTATAGGTAGCAATTTAATGTTCTGTCTCCATTATTCTTGTCTCTGTTTTTAACAGCTATTTTTAAATGCTAACAATAAGGTGGCAGACAAGAACGAGAAAGACCTTGCCAACAAATTACTGACAGAAATGAATGAGGACCAGGTATCTACAAAACCTGCATCTTGTTTCAGTTGAAGTCCAAAATCAGTCAATGGGATCAACTATTCCTATACTTTTTTCTTATGTCTTAAAGTACACAAGTATTATCTTAATTCTAATTTTCATTAATTACTTTTGAAATTTCTTTAAAGCAATTTTGTTTTAAATTTTTTACCTGAAAGATAAATATATTGAAATCTTGGTGGTTGCTATAAATGATCAGTAGTATTCCATCTGTGTATATGTGTGTGTTCTTTTCAGTTTGAGAAGATACAAAGTACAGGAATGGGATCCCAATATCAATGCTGTCCACCTGGTGATAACTTCATATTTGGGGCTTCTTTTTCTAAGCATTATGGTGTATTGGGACTTTACAGCTTTGTTTGTGAATATGTGTAGTCGATTTTTAATATCTGATTCTTTGCTGCTTGTTGACAAGTAATGATTATAATTCAATGGACAACCTGAATTTTGGAGGAAGGGAAGAAGATGCCAAACTCTTTGAGTCTTAATTTACGATAAAACTTAAGTTTTTCCTTTTCTAAAAATTCAATTCTATATGGGAATAAGGCAGAAATATGCAATATATGTTGCTTTTTACAATACATTTAGGTCATTTAGTTGGAAAAAACTACCTATAAAAATTGCTTTGTTATTTTTCTTCCCCAAAATGTTTTTGAAAGAACTTACATGATGTTATTATTAACATTATCTTAGTGTCCAGGTTTATAAATAGAGCTGTGGTATAGAAAGAGACATGATAACCTATTATTTTCTATTCTGGATGTGCAACATCAATTACAGGGTACTGTTTTAGATTTCTCTATAGCTGTTAGTCCCTCTTAAGGCCTTCTTCTACATTAATAGTTAATAATCTTCTTAGAGGTTTATATTATGTTAGTATTCCTACTTGTAGGTACTGTGATGCCTAGTCCTCTTGGATCAAGAATAAGAATGATCTTATTTGTATGAAATTCTGTATGCAGAATGTTTAATGCATATTATAATATGTTTATTACATATGTAATATGTTTATTTTATAATGTTTATTAAGCAACATCAACAAAAACCAAGATCCCAGATAAATAACTTGCCTGGAAGTCGTAGAGCTTAGCTTAAAACAACAAAGATCTAATCAGTCTCTTTACTCAAATCTATTTTAGTGGGAGTAGGAGAGGAAACTTCTATTTATGGATTGATGAACTTCAAGTCATAGTAATATGTTCTCAAAACCAGATTTTTGTAACTTTGTTTTTACAACTTTCTAGTCTTTATTTTGTTCTTTCATGGTTGACTAAGCCTGATGATAAAACGAGTTATGTTCATTTTTTTTAGTATTGTAGATGTTGTATTTGTTTTTGGGTTTTTTTTGCTGTAAATGCACTGACCTGAAATTTAATATATCTCTTCTTTATGATAAAGCTTAAACAGAAACGGACAAAATGGAGCTGCTTTATATTTTTTCATACAACTTTTGGCATTACAGGTTGCCTGCTCAAAAACATGACAATGCGTATAGATACATATTTCATTTTCTGTTCTTCAAATTCTGCACTTTATTTAAAAATAGATAATACCTTATTGTTTGCAAGTATGATTAATTGGTATGTACATACCATTTCAATTATAACACAGGGTTTAGAAGCTAAGTAGACAGGACTGTTTTAGATGTCTTATACATGCTAATGAAATTTAAACCTGGAAAGTTCATGTTTATTTTTGAAGGAAAATTAAAATAATAGAGTTCCAATGATAGACCTCCCTTCCTTCCTCTTGAGATTGTCCATTATTTTTTTTAAAAGCATGTATTAAGTTTGGTGTTTTTTCCCCAAAACATTTTAACGTAATGAGTGAATGTAGCCTTGTTCTTCTTGACACGTGGCTTATTTTCTGTCAAGTAGGTAAGTTTTCTTGCAGGTTATAGTGTTTCAGGAATCCATTTCATTGGAAGAGAAATGTATTGCATTTTAAGTAATTATTTTTTCAGGTTTTCAGAACAAAGGTTTCCTAACTAAATACAAATCTTGAACACATTTGTTAATTTCTTGCTTTTTTTCCCTCCTCTGGTAGGTGTTTCAGGGACAGTTGGATTGTTTGGCTGTATCAACCATTCAGGCTCTGACAGCAGTAATGAACAAATCTCCAGCTGCTAAGGTGAAACATATATCCCCAAGTTCTAAAATGTTATCTTAGATATACCAGCTTCATTATATAATTCCCAAAGTTATGTATGAAAGTGTGTAATACATATGGTTTCAAGCCTGAAATGAAATAGTTCTTAAAATATCTCATCTTAGTATAGGAATCATTTTGCTGATAATTTTAAAGACAGATGCCTATCAGCACTACTTTGGGATTATTTAAGACATTGATGACTGAACTGCAAGCTAGTAGGGATTTACAGTGTTAGTCAACGAAGACAGCACTGGTGTTGACATGTCAAAATGATAAGTTTAAGTGATTCTATGGTAGTGCATTTAAATGATTAAATTTTATATTTATTTTTCTTCATTAATAAAATACTTACTATTTGATCAGTTTGACTGCCTAAAACATGAACATTTTTCACATGTCAACAGCCCTACTACTAACTTGGAACTTGTTTTTCCAGATGACAGTGAAAATTCTGCTGCTTTGTTTGTAGTCACTAACCCTCAGGATTTTCTTTCCCTTCTCACTCACTACCTCTCACTCTGTCTTGCTGTCCAGTTATGTGGATTTTGTGCTAGTAGTTTCCTCATTGGTTAGTTTTAAGGATTAGTGAGATCATCTGTTTAAAGTGGTAAGCATAGTGCCAGATACATGGTAAGTGCTTAAAAATGCAATTTTCCAGCTGAAACTAATTCTAAAAAATGTGTATTTCATAATAAAAAATAATTAAAAGAAAAAAAAGTAATTTTCTGTTACTATTATTATTATTACCATTTTGCCTTCTTATTCCATCACCTGTAATATAGTTCATGCCTTACCTTTCTAATACCAGAAATAAATAAATAACTTCTTATTCCCTAAGCCATACCTTCAGTTGTATTCCTTACTCTCCATTAGTTTTTGTTAGGAGACTAACTGTTGCCCTATAAATGTTGCTATATATAAATAACTCATGGTTAGATGCCTGCTGAATAGGCTTTTACAATGGTCACAGGATGGCCTGGGAATCTAGTCTCCATTAAAAAGAATTTCTGTAAGGAAAAAGATCATTTTAAGTTTTAAGTAATTGGTTTATGAGTATAATGGATTGCTTGTACTATAGTATGAAATGCAAAACTAAAATGATGTTCAAGTCTTTTTGCAATACGAATTTTTTATGCTATCTAATGCCTTGCATGGTTTAAAATTAAAAAGATTAGGGATGGCTCAGCTAAAAAAAATAATAATAAAAAAATAAATAAATAAATAAAATTAAAAAGATTATTTTTAAAATGCCATTTGAAAAAAGATCTTCTTCCTACCCTTGTCCCATAGTCAACTATAATAGTTCCCCTCCCCAGAGACACCAATCTTACTCATTTTGTTTAAATCTTTTAAATTTATAATGAGTGTATATATATTTCTACTGACTTTACTGGACCAATTTAGTGTTGCTAGGTGTTTTGGTTGTCTTTATATTCTACTTTATGGCTTTGAATGCTCACTAGTTCAAAAATACATGTGACTAAGACCTTACTAAATATAACTCAATGCTACAGATAATTCATACCATTTAGATACAAAGAGTTGAGGAAAACTACCCAGTTTTTTTCTAGCTACTACTCAAAATTGCCAGGACTCTTTAGACCTTTGAGGCTGCTGTCTAATTCCTGTTACCCCTCAGATTCTCCTTATTTTTCCTTCATTTTTATTTTGACTTCATGTAATACTGCACTAATTACAAATCAAGTGAAGAAGGTAAAGGAAGTGTTATGTGACCTAATCAGTAAGTAATATAATAATTTTATAATGCACAACTATTTCTAATTTCATTTATTTTACATTTTGGTAGATTATTATAACATTGTATCCCAGAAGATACATGGAGTTTATTTTAAGATGAAGACGTGATTTGAGAAAACAGATACGTTGAACTCATAATCTTTTTAATATTAAGTTGATTAACTTAAATGGGTATTCAACATTTTTGAAAATTTCCAAAAAATTTAGTCTTTGAAAATGTGCTTTGATGTGTTGACTTTCCCTCTTCTAGGAAGTATTTAAAGAAAGAATTGGTTATACACATATGTTTGAAGTATTAAAATCCCTGGGTCAGCCATCACTGGAACTACTTAAAGAACTTATGAATATGGTGAGTTTGTTTAGCTATATTTTAAAAAGTTCCATTTTCTCTATATCAAAGATGGTAACTAACCTTTTTCTCTTATGTTGCCTTATAGGCTGTAGAGGGTGACCACACTTCAGTTGGGATTTTAGGCATTAGCAATGTCCAGCCTCTCTTGCTTCTTATCCAGTGGCTTCCAGAGCTAGAATCCCATGACCTGCAGATCTTCATCTCTGATTGGCTGAAAAGAATTTGTTGCATTAATAGGCAGAGTCGAACTGTTTGTGTCAATGCAAACATGGGAATTAGAATCATTGAAACCCTTGATTCTCATTCTTCTCTTCATCGAACTTGTGCTGAGAACCTGATTGCACTGCATGGTTCCTTGGGGAGTCAGTCAGTGAGCTCGGAAGAAATCCGTCGACTACTAAGACTACTGAGAGTGGATGAATCTGAGTGTATTCACCCTTATACAACTCCTGTGACTCGAGCAATCCTGACCATGGCCCGAAAACAAAGTTTAGAGAGTGCACTGCAGTATTTCAATTTGTCACATAGTATGGCAGGAATTTCTGTGCCTTCTATACAGAAATGGCCAGGGTCTGCCTTTTCTTTCAATGCTTGGTTTTGCTTAGATCAGGATCAGATGACTCTTGGCAGTGCTAACAAAGGAGGAAAAAGAAAACAGTTGTACAGGTACTGGTACATGTTATGGAATGTAAATGAATACAGTCGTATGATATATGCTGTGGTTCTTTAAACAGGAAAAAGCTTTCCTAAGCATCTAGTTTATTATTATTATTATTATTATTATTATTATTATTATTATTATTATTTTAAGCATCCAGTTTTTAAATGTACAACAGTGTATCTGAAGCTTCTTCATCCTTAGGGTGTATACAGTTTAATTATAAGTATTTTTTTTGCTTTCATAATAATGATTGTATATCATATATTTTGCTAGTTGAGTTCTGAGGTCAGTTTAGAAACAAGTTCCTTCTTAAAAGTACTGTAAAAAATGGAGAAAAAAGGAATAATAAACTTGAAAATGAACGGTAATCTTTCTGTTTCATTGAAGGTACTATATAGTTATATGAAGGACTAGAAAACCTATATGTATGTACACCCAAATGTAGTTACTTCAGTAACAATTTTTAATATGCCTTGTGATTTTTAAGACCATTGTTCATGCTTTCTGAATCTTATTTGGAAAGATTTTGAAGATTTGAAAGTTAATAGCTTTACTATAGTTTGCTAATGGAATTCCACTAATCAGGCTACCTTTTATAATTTACTAAACTCTTATGCCAAAAAAAGATTTAAATATTATCTTTGAAGAAAGGTTGGACTGATGTATGGCAATAGAATGTAAGCCACAGTGTGTTTGATAAAGATACTCATGATGACATTATGGTTTTGTGTGCTTCAACGATGATAAAACTGAACAACTGACTTCAAAATTTCTGATAATAAATATTTTTATTTTATATTAGTTTTTTTACAGGAAGTGGCATGGGTTTTGAAGCTTTTATTACCCATTCAGGTATGTTGGTTGTGGCAGTATGCACGAAAAGAGAGTATGCAACGGTTATGCTTCCTGACCACAGTTTCTGTGATTCCCTCTGGGTAAGGCTTTAGGGCATCACATTTAACTTCTTGATTCTTTCCTTTAAGAAACGCATTTGGTGCATGTACATCAAGTGTTGTCATCTGCTTTTTGAGAGTTGATTAATTTTTACTTTCTGTTCATGTTGAAGTTTATCTATAAGGAGGTTAATACCATTTATCATCATCATTGTAAATTTCATAATAATTTTTCTGCTAAAATATTAAAATGAAATGTTATGACTCATTTCAAGTTTTCTAGAATCAAATATGATTTTGAATATCAATTAAGTTGTTAAAAATGCATAAATTGTTTCTGTTGCTTTCTTAAAATATAAAATTATTCTCATTAGAAAAATTAATTTTAAAAAATACTCATAGACATGGAAAGTCCAGAAAAGATACTATGTTACAGTTGTGTGTAGATTTTCTAGAATAGACATAAGTGCTTTTAAAGTACTACAGATAAAATGTTATTCACTTAAAGATCATCTTTTTAATCAGCATTTAGTTATGCTTAGTCTTAATGTCCTGCTATTTACACAAGCTGGTTATAGAGTAATATTCTGAAAACATTTGTCATTCCAAAGACTGAATGTGATTTTCACTTTTTAAATGTGTGTTTTACTTAATCAGCACAACGTAACCATTGTTCACATGCCTGGAAAAAGGCCCTTTGGTCAGAGCCTTGTCTATATTTATGACAATGGACAGCAGAAGGTCTCCGCCCCTCTCAGATTTCCTGCCATGAATGAAGTAAGCTCATCTAACTCATCTAACCTACTCTTTATGGGATCAGTTGATTGAGAACTGTTGAAAAATTTCAGTTTAATGTAGCAGGTTCTCTTCATTCTAAATGTGTGCCCATAAAGTTTAGTGTTTTTTATATACTAAGATTTAGTAAGTTAATATTTAATTCTGTTAGCCTGTCATCATTAGATGAAATCAGACAACATATAATAAAAGAAAAACAATTCAAGGAAGAAACAATGTAATTAAAGGCTTAGAAAAAAAGGCTTGTAACAACCACAGGAAAGCCAAAGAAATTGAATCGAGCAGAGCAAAAGATCCTTTAATAAAGCTCTCCAAATATATGAAATAGTTAGAGACTTTTAGTGGACTCATTTCCATGTCCATTGAATTTGAAACAATAATGAAGAAACTTTAAACTTTTACACTGTAGTTAGGTATAAGACAAAATTTATTTACTAGAATGACTAAAGGACATGAATATAAAAATTTTTTGAAAATATTTGGATAATTTTGAAAGGACCTTTTCTGAAGTTAAAAGAATGGATTGGATTACTTCCCAAGTCCTAGGATTCTAGTAATTTCTTTTATTATTATTATTATTATTTTTATTTATTTTTTATTTTTTATTTTTTTTTAGCTGAGCCATCCTGCCACCTGTTGGCAGCTCAGTGGCAGCTCAGCTCGGGCCATGAATCAAACCGGGGACCCTGTTGCTCAGAGCTCAAACTCTTGAGCGAGCTCTTAACCAACTGAGCCACTCGGCCGGCCCGATTCTAGTAATTTCTTATTGCTGTTCATCTCAATGACCATTTCAGGATAACCCGTAATTAGCATTATTATACTCTGTTTGTAAATTTGAAAGGGGGAAAAGTAGTTTTCTCAATTTTAGAATATAAGTAAAGTTGTTAAAAAAAATTTTTTTGTTAATATGTACTCATTAAAATTCAAAATTTATAGAAGGATATAAAGTGAGTTATAAAAGTAATGCATCCAAATCATGTAGGCCAAAGGTAACGTCTGTAATGATTTCTTATGTGTACATATTCATACACATATGATCCAGCAAATTTATTTGTTTGCTTAATTTTATGTACTATTTCATTTTAAATGAGGATAGAGATTTAGTTAAAATTGTGTAATTTGTTTTGTTTGTGTCTTCATTTTTAGCCTTTTATTTCTTGCTGTATTGGTTCAGCTGGGCAAAGAACCACCACTCCCCCACCATCCCAGATCCCAGATCCACCTTTTTCTTCTCCCATTACTCCTCATCGAACATCATTTGGTGGAATTCTGTCATCAGCCTCCTGGGGAGGAACAATTGAAAACTCAAAATTGATTACCAAATTGATATCAGCAGGAACCCAAGACAGTGAATGGGGATGTCCCACATCTCTGGAGGGTCAGCTAGGTTCTGTTATTATCTTCTATGAGGCACTACAGCCTTCTCAAGTGAAGTCATTATATTTGGCAGGTGAGTATTTACGGTCATACTGTTTAATTAAACTTAAATAGCTTTTTCTGTTTCCTAAATCTGAAAATGTATTTGTTTTAATTGAAGCTAAAAGGGAAGAAAAAGCCTACCACAACCATACTTTTTCCCACCTTGGCTTTATTGAGATGTTAATGACATATAACATATGTATGTTTAAGGTATACAATGATGATTTGATATATATATTGCAAAATGATTGCCATTATAGTTAACGCTTCTGTCCTCTCACATTATTACCATTTTTTATGTGTGTTGATAATGTTTAAGATCTACTTTCTTAACGACTTTTGAGTATATTATACAGTATTATTAATTATAGTACACCATACTCCTTTTGATAGGCATAAATAAAGCAAACCTTTGGGAAATATTTCAAAAATCCACAAAGCTGTTTAGTATTAGTCCATTATGACTGCCATAACAGAATACCATGCACTGGATGGCTTAAACACTATTTTGTTATAATTCTGAAAGCTAGAATTCCAAGATCAAGTTTCAATCAGGCTTGGTTGGTTTCAGGTGAGGTCTCTATTCCTGGCTGGTGGATGGCTGCCTTCTTGGCTGTGTCCTCATGTGGAGTCTGTTCTCTGTGTGTGTGCCAAGAGATATCTCTGGTGTCTTTGCCTCTTCTCATAAGGGGCTTTTTTGGATTAGGGCCTGACCTTTATGATGTCATTAACCTCATTAATTACCTTCTTAAAGGCCTTATCTCCAAATACAGTCACGTTAGGGGTTCACCTTCAACATGAATTTGGGGGTACACAATTCAGTCCATAATACTTTTGACAGATTTTAATAAATTGATGAAGCAAAATACAAGCCTGTCTTCATAAAAAATTACATGATGAGTAAAATCTTGTGAGTCTTATTTAAAAGCTGGTGATTTTTATAACATACACTAATATACCTGAAGAATTCATGAAGGCAGCAGAATTAGGAGTCCTTAGATAAATTTATGAACTGTTTTCCTTTTGGCTATGATTTTAAATATATGCGGTTATTGGATCATAAATATTTTCAAAATTATATCTGTATTTTAATAGATTGTTCAGGAGTTAAGCCTCTGAGTAGTCATGTTTATTAACTCTGCACATAGCTTATTATTTGTCAAAATTTCTTTTTTAGATTTCATGGGAGTTTTGAGGTGAATAAGAATGTCCAGACTTTCAAAGTTTAGAACTTTGTCATTACTTTAAAACTTATCAAAATATTTGAAGTTGATATTTATAATCTAAATAAATTCCAAGTTAATAAGTCATTTAGTGTAATCATCACAGCTCTGTAGTTTGGATTTTGTTCTTGTAATTTTTCCTACTTATAATTCTATTCTTATAAATAGTATTTATTATATAGTGTTCATAATGATCATTTTTAATGGATGCATAATGTTATATTGGATTCATAATATATGATTTACTTAGGCTGTTTATAGTTTTTAATGTTGACTAAACATCAAATATTAAATATGATGAACCATTGTAGTTATTGGGTTTTTTCCTTATTCTGATGGATGTACTTATGATAAATTCCCAGGGTAAATATTCAAAGTGTGTGAATATTTTTATGGCTCTCAGTACATGTTACATAATCAGTTTCCAAAAGGTATATACCAATTAACAGTCCCTACCAGTAATACGTAAGTATACCAGATTCATCACAGCCTCACTAAGGTGGAATAGCCAATACTGTCTCCTTCATTTTTTTGGTGTAAAACGGAACCCTGTTTTAATTTGTATTTCTTCTTGACTTTACTAAAAACAAAATACAAATTAAAATACTAATTTTAATTTTTTTTTTAGGAAGGTCAAGAGTTTTTCCTACTCATTTGCTATTCCATTTCTGTGATATCTATTCACATTACTAATTATTTTGCTATTTTGTCTTATAAATTTGAGTTGGTTTACTTAGATAAATTAATAGTTAAACTTTGTTATATTTTATATTAATTTTATCAGCTCCCTTTCTGTAGTGGAGATTGATTCATCCTTCCCAACTTTTCTAGGGTTTGAGTAAATTGGAAGTGCTCTAAAAATAAAGTACATTTTGGCTAGTGTGTATTAACTGTGTTATATGAGTAGCTTGGAACAATTTAATTTTAAATTTTGTTCTGATTACACAGAACTGAAGAGGCCATAACTATTCAATGATATGTGTGTGTATAAATAATTTACAGGTCCAAACTGTTTAAGCCCTTGGAAATTTCAAGAGTCTGACATGGCTGACCTACCTGGTAATGTCCTTCTTCACTACACTGCAAAGGTCAGAGTAAATACATGGACTGTCCATTTAGTTGTAACTATGCTGTGAATTCCTTTTTAAATTTGTTTTTTCATTTCAGTGGGTAATTAGAAGGAGGGGCTTGAAGTGCCATTAAAAATTATTAATTTCCAAAGGAAGATGAGAAGCATTAAAAAGGTGTACCTCTCAACTAGGTTTCAAATGTGATCATTATGTCATCCCAGTAGTATGAATGGCAATAGTTGTAGTGGTAATTTGTACTAATGAACGACTTCAGTAAATGAAACTGTTTAAACTTTTATCTCCTACTTTTTTGGAAGGAGAGGTGAAACAAGTTTCTCGGCGTTTTCTTTGTTAATTTTTTAAATATTGGGTTGTCGGAAAAGTCATGACGTATTTTTTTCTGGTTTTTGTTGCAAAAATACGTCATGACTTTTTAGACAATCTAATATATTGCTAGTCAGAAAACAATAAAAAAAGGAGAAAAAAGAAACGACATATATGCATACCATGTTTAATGTTTAGTACTTGTTTTTTTCTTCCTTTTGGAGGAAAGGTCAGCAAGGGCTGAGGGGAAAGAAGATCAAAGGTAGGACTGGGAGGAAGAAAAGGGAAAGTATCATAAACAACCATATCATTTGCCTTCACTATATTCAGTGTTACATTGACCCAGAAAATGCTTTTGCTGTGTGAGATTATACATTATAGAATTTTTTTTTCTAGTTCAGTCTTCTAGTACATGACCATAATTTATTACTTTGAATACTTATTTGTTATATCTAATCTAATAAAATTTAATTTTCAGTTGGTATTTCCTTCTAACTTTTTATTTTGATTAATTGCAAACCTAACGAGAAGTTTAAAGGATGGTAAGGTGAAATCCTATATACTCTTCACCTAAATTTCCTAGTTATTAACATTTTGCCACACTTATCTTTATCTGTCTATCTCAAATCATTTGTGAAAGCAGATTGATATAGCTATCAAGACACGTTACTCCTAAGTTTTTCTACATAATCATTATCCTATCTAAGAAAATAATAATTCATGTAATATATAACCCATATTCAAAATTTCCCAGCTTCCCCCAAAATATTTGTTTAGCCTTTTAAAAATTTAGTCCTGGATCCATTTGAGGCTTGTGCATTGCATTGGTTGTAATGTCTCTTGAGTCTTCTGTTTTTTGTTTGTTTCCTTTTTGTAACACTAACTTTTTTCCAAAGATACATGTTTGTTAACCAAAGTAGATTTTTAAGTTATTTCTTGGCAGGGACTATATCTTATACTTATTTTTATTATAACTAGTATAGATCGATAGGAATTAATTATATTTAATCTCACTACTATATTTGGTATATTATATGCTTAGACATGCAATTGGTAACTGGGTCTTTTTTGCATGATGGTTGCTATATTCTTTTTTCAAAGTAACTTTGAAAAATTAAGGTTAAATTTTTACTACTGGGAGTAAAATTTCTGTAATTCATGTAGCAATGCTGGTTCCTTAATAATAACAAATGTACCATACTAATGTAAGATACTAACATTATCTGAAAAAACTGTGTTGGAGGTATATGGGAATTTTGTACTATCTACCCAAACATTTCTGTAAATGATTTTCTGTAAATCTAAATAAATTATAAAATAAAAGACTATTTTAAAAGTTTGGTAAAAAAATAGCCATTATTGTTTTTCCTCAAGAAACCCAGCATGACAAATATATACAATAAAACAGTTTAGTGGAGGATATTTCTTGAAATGGCTATATATATGATGATACTAGTGTTCTGTGGTTAAATAAGTTTGAGGGGATGTTGCATTTGGTATATACCTCTTAGAGATTAATGATAACACTTTTGAAAAATCCTCTTATAAAGAAACTAGTTTACTTTTGTTTTATCCTACTTTTTCACCAGTTATTTGAACATAGAACACATTTTAGTTTTTATTTCACTTAGTAACAAATACTAGTTTGGGAAAAGCTGCTATAGAGGATTTTTTGACAGTCAACGGTTTTTCATTTTTGTACTTATTTTTAGGAAGTGTTTAACCATCCATTTGTTAAAAATTTTTGGAGTGTCTTCTCTATGCCAAGAGTTGTTTGAACTTTTAGGATACAAAGGTGAATAAATTAAAGCCTCTGGCTTTAAGAAGCTTAAAAATCTAAAGTAAAATAAGTACATAAGAAAAATAAGTGCAGGGCCAGCCGAGTGTCACGTTGGTTAGGAGTTGACTTGGGACACCAGCGCTGAGCAGCAGGGCCCTGGTTCAGATCCCACATGTGGGCCAGTGATGCTGCGCCCTCTACAGCTAAGATGGTGAACAACAGCTCAACCTGGAGCTGGGCTGGTGTGAGTCGCCAGCAATGGCATAGGTTGCAGTGGGGCTGGCCGGCAGCGGGCGTGAGCTGCTGTGAGCGGCCGTCCAGTGGCCGGCGAGCGACTGCCTCACCTGGGAAGAGTGCAATGATAATACCAACATGGGCCAGTGAAGCAACGTCCTCCACAACTAGACTGAAGAACAAAAGGACAGCAACTTGTCTGTTCCCCTCCCCCAATTCCCCAATAAAATCTTTAAAAAATAATAAGTGCAGTATAATTTTATGAGCATTTTTTGTTTTTTAGCTGCCATTATTGCATTGTTTAGTTTAGCTGCCACTAAACTAAATGCTTCACATATATTGTTTCTCAATCTTCACTAAAGCTCTGAGGGGTATATGGTATTATCTGTATCTTTTCTAAACTCTAGTGTCCTGAAACTGAATGAAGATTAGTAACTTGCCTAGCCTAATACTTCTAGTTAATTGACAGCCTGTTTAATGCAGATCCTTAGCCACTATACAATATCTCTGTGTTGGAATTATGCACAAAATATAGTGTGGACACAAAGGAAGAGTGGTTTGTTCTTCCAGAGGTTAAATAGCATAGAAAAGATGGTTTGATTTGTGTTTTAAGAGGCAAAGATGAGAGAGGATGTGCAAAGCACAACATATATAGACTAAACCTGGGTTCTGTGTGTATTTGGGTGCAGGGCACTAAACAGGAGTAGATGGCCAGAGATGAGATTAGAGGACAAGTAGAGGCCGGATCATAGCAAATCTCTTGTGCCAGGCATTGGATAGGATTTTAAGCAATAAAGTAATATAATCGGGTTTGCATTTTAGAAGAAGGTCTCAAGCTGCAGTGTGAAAGTTGGATTAGAGGGATAGGAGACTGGAGGCATCCAAACCATTAAGAGATTAGGTCATAGATACACAAGTACTCACTAAGGTAGTAACAGGAGAAAGACATTTCTGTCTCTTAGACTAATATAGTTTACATTGAGTTAAATGTAAACTCAGTTTGCATTTGTTTTATTAAAGCAAAATTTCTCAGTTGCCTTGAGAGGATAAAACAGCCACGTCATCTGTGCTAATATTTTTAGGTATCTTTATTTATTTTTGGAATGGGGAGTAAATTCAGGGATGCTTCAATCTGTAAATTCAGTGAGTGAATGAAGTTACCCACTTTATAAACCTTTTTTGAAGTTAACATAACAATTTCTAGAGTTGCAGACGCAGACTAAGCTCTTAATCTGAATATAACTAGAATTGTCAGTAACATGAGGAAAATAGTGTCTTATGTCTGTGATTGGATTTTTGTACTGTAATATATTTTTCTGTTCTGTGATTTCTGTATCTCATACTTTAGTCACACATTTTATGTATATCATGAAATTGTGCCTGGGAAAGTACTAATGGGAATAAATTGTTGAATTTTTTAAAAAGTCAAAAATCTGCTTGCATATATTGGCTTAAAAGAGAAAATATTTTAAACTATGTGATTGGTGAAGAACAGATGACAAGCAGCAGTGACCTGCTGTTTGATGAGTGAGTACTTTAGAAGCTAGTCCCTGATTTTTTAGAGACAGAGAATAGTAATACTAAACTTAATATTGTAGGCATCTTATCACTGTCTATACTATATACTTTTTAAGTATGCGGTGAAATGTTCCATATATAGAGTTGTGTTTTGTCTTCCTTATGCTTAGTTGTTTGCTATATTTTTCTTTTATTCTTAGGCTTGCAAAAATTCAATCTGTCTTGATTTATCTACTAATTGTTTGCATGGACGGTTAACAGGAAACAAAGTAGTGAACTGGGACATTAAGGTAAGTTATGATAAATGAAGGACAACATATGTTAGTTTATGGATCCTTTAGAAGAGTTTAATCTTTTAAGCATCACCAGGTTCTTTGTAGGCAAGATACACAGTTGAAGGAAGAATAAGTAGTTGAATGACTGGAATTTGCTTAAAACTATGTACTGAAACATAGTTTTTATAACTATGCCATGAGTTTAATGCTTTTCATGAGAAAAATATACTGCCTTAGTTAATTGCTCCACTTTTTAAGGTATTTAATCCCTAAAACTATGTGGCAGATTTCAACTCCTTCTAACCTTCTCAGAAACTTCATTGATTATCCCTTTTCTCCTGAATTACACACTTTTCCCTGTCTATAGTCTCCTGTAAATCAGCTTTAAATGAACTCAGATCTTTCTTCTTGAGGTTAAGGAGTGATTTTTCCTCTTCCTCATATCCCCCTCTAACTAGGATATCTTGTCTGCTTTTTTTATGTGCCTCATATTTTTGTCTCAACTGGACATAATGTCTTTGCTTTTATCTAGAGGCCTGTATTTACTTTCTAAGACTGAGTTAACTGCTCTGGTCATGGGTGTCTGAAGCACTTTATCATTTCACTTACTATTGTGATTAGTGACTATTTGCTTGCTTGATTCTCCAGTAGTCCTTAAGAACTTCAAAGGAGGGACCACCCCTTTTTTCACCAGTGCCTGGCACAGGGATATGCAGTAATATTGTCAACTGAGTTATTAAATTAGTAAATACTATTTGGGCTAATATGAAAGTCAGAGATTTTATCCTATTTCTAAAATATACTACTGTTTTCTTAAAAGATATCTTAAATAGAAATTATAGCTTAGGAAAATCAAAAGAAATATAAGAGATAGCTATAGGGAACTTGCTGGTAAATCAGCAAAAAAACCCAAAATCACTTTTATCTTCTAGTCACTTAACACCAATTAAATATGCTTATTATTTCAGTGGAGCAGAAATCATTAAGATAATTCAGCCTATATAAAAACGAATCCATCAGTTAGTATTCATCTCATGTTATTCGTGTGGTATAAAACTTCTTTCTCTTTGACTTTGAGAGAAGAACACGTATTCTTATCTGTTAGAATAGTAAGATTTATGATGTGTTTGCCAATTCATGAGTTAACTTTTGCTATCACTTGTGAGATTGGTTTTCCAAGGCTAGTTCTACTTATTACTTATATATTGAAAAGTGATTAGTTACGTCATACATTATACTTGAAAATCAAAGCAGTCTTCATTACCTTGAGTTACAGCTATGTGGAAATCAAAAAGAACAGAATTATTAAGAAAAAAGACGATTGCATTTTTATATTGCAGCAAAATCAAAGACAAAAAAGTTAAGTGAAAAGACAATTGGGAAAAAAATACTTGCCATCTATAAAAAGCTAATTTATTTACTACATAAAACTCTTAAAAATCAATGTGAAAAACAGGCAAAGAATATGAAGAGGTTATTTATAAACTTAAGCGGGGTCTACATGACAGTTCAGAACATTGTAGCAGTTAATAATAACTAATCTTATGTAGCACTCACTGTATGCCAGGTACTAGGCTCTTTTCATTTATTAGCTTACTTAATCTTTATAACAACTTTATAAAGTGGGAATTAATATTATCCTCATTTTACAGATGATGAAACAGACAGAGAAGAAACATTAATAACATGTGAAAGGGTTTTGAATATATTTGGTTATGCTATCCAAAATAGTCACTTTGAACTTTGGTTGAAGCTACCCACTCCACCTTTTTTGTTAAAGTAGAGGAGTCAATCATATTTCTGTTACCAGATACATTTTTTTTCCCATGATTTATTCTCCTGTTCATTATGCCTAATTACCTTGTGACAGTTTCCTCTTACACCATTAGTGTTACATTATAAAGTCACCTTATGGGGTCATGTTTAGATTTGCCTATGTTTGAAATTTCCAAGCTTTGGAAAACAAAGGTATGATAAAAATGGCCTGGCCTTCTCTCCCTTGAGTATTGATTATGGTGTCTCCTGAGTCTGGTCTTTAAAGCATATGTCCATAACAAGGGTGCTTTAGCTTAGACTATCCTATACATTGCCTAAAGATTTAGTAAATTATAACTTCTTACATGCTGTGTAGATAGTAAATGAAAAATTGCCCATGTTTCATAAGATTAAAAAATTGTAATTTTCTTTTTCAGGACATCATAAACTGCATAGGTGGATTGAATGCACTCTTTCCTCTATTGGAACAAATCAGCCACTTCAGTGAAGGACAGATTCCTGAAGGAATGAATGAAAGAACAGTTTCTGAATCGATGACACCTGTAGAAGGAGATTGGGTCTTACTGACCTCCACAAAGGCATCAGGTATTAAGATGAAATTAATTCAAAATAGTCATTGAGAAATTTGAGAATTAATTGAAAAATAGATTAAAATGTCTTACTATCATTAGGAAGAAACTTAACCATTTGTAGCTGAAGCAGCCCATCCCTAATTTTACTAATGTAGTTCAGGAAGTTCATAATACTGTGGTCAGAAAACTTAATATGTTGGGTTTACTCTTGATTATCTGTAGTTTGTACTCTTAGTGGAAATATGACAACATTGTTAAATATGGTGGAGAAAATATTTACATGTGCATATAAGTATACAATATGCAATTGCTGCTTTTTCCAATATGTATGTTCTACAAGTGACCATTGGAGGCTAATTCCTTAGCCAAATTCTTTGTGTTACAATATGCATTGTGATATAGAAAATGTGATATAAAAGTGATTACTTACGATAATAACATGTTCACAATTCCACAGAGTCAAGACTAGAGAGAAATTTAGTTGCGACATTTATATTGATTATGAAACACTTTATTCAAAGACATCCTATTAACCAGGACAATCTTATTCACTCCCATGGAGTTTCCACTCTTGGTGCCTTACTTCAGAAGGTGAGCTAGTCTAACATAATATAGGAATGGCTGATGATTGTAATTAGCAGTTAGTTTGGGGTTCTTTCTTCTTAATAAGTAAATATGTATTTTTTTAATTATTCTATTATAGCTTAAGTTGTGTTATTGGATATAATTTATTTTACAAGTGGAATTTACAGACTTCTATTTTCATATATGTGTGTATATATAACCACCTTAAAAATTTCTGTTGAATCACTTTACACAATTACTTATCTTACATAATAACACTGTATAATCTTTGAAATACAGGACCTTGTTTGTTAGCTTTGGTATTTGGGCTATTTGATCAATTTAACACTCTGTTTTAGGACTATGATATTAGGGAAATATATTCTAGCATTACTTCAGAAAAATTAATGTTTAAGTTGTTTATATTTTTCTAATCATTTTATATTTAGATGTGCTGAATAAATTATAGCTTAATGACAATTATTTAAACTGAACTTTACAGACCTCTCTTCTGTTTGGATTTCAGGTGCCAAGCACCTTGATGGATGTTAATGTATTGATGGCAATTCAATTACTAATTGAACAAGTATCATTAGAGAAGAATATGCAGCTCCTACAACAAATGTATCAGTATTTACTCTTTGACTTTCGTATTTGGAACCGTGGAGATTTTCCCTTTCGAATCGGTGAGAGCAGGCTGTTGATAAAATTTTATAGTTGTTTTAGCAATGTATAACTACATGTGTAACTTGATTTTAGGTATATCATTTTAAGAGTGAACTTTCTGTTTTAGGTCATATACAGTATCTTTCCACCATCATCAGAGACAGCAGGAGAGTTTTCCGAAAGAAGTATGGTGTGCAGTTTCTCCTAGATGTGCTTAGGATTTATTATGGGTATGATGTCCTTACACCTTCTCAGTTTGATACTGTTTTCTGCCTGCTACTTGATCGGAACATCTAGATTGTTTATTTACAACAATTCTAATATTGCTTAACTTCAGCGAGGTAGGAAAGTGTGGAGGTTAAAATGATGAACAATGGATCATATACATTGGGTTTGAATCTTGTGTTTCATTAGCTGTCTAGCTATAGATAACTTACTCAACTTTTCTGCGCTTAAGTTTTCTGGCCTGTGACGAGGAGATAATGAAACTGTGACATCCTGTGGTTGCTTTGAGGATTAAAATAAATGAGTTAATAATATATAAAGCACTTAGAACTGTCTGCCACATAGTGAGTGTTGCATAAATATAAGCCGTTTTAACAATTTATATCTTTGTCATTGAAACTCCTCATTTCGAAAAATTTTCCTTAACTTTTTAAATAGAAAAAGAAACCAAAGATACCAGGAATTCTTTTTTTTATTAAATTTATTAGGGGTAACAGTGGTTAATGACATTATATCATGACTTCTAATAATTACATATATACATCATTTGTAAACTATGAAGTCTTTTATATAAAAAAGTTTTAAAAGTTTATATTAAAATATAAACATTTTAAATTTCTATTCTTGCACTTTTACTTTCTCTTTCAGGAGTGATTGTAAATATAGTGAGCTGTCTGTAGATGATATTCGAACAATAAGGACTTCCTTGTATGGACTAATTAAATATTTTCTGTGCAAAGGTGGAACTCATGAAGAGATACAAAGTATTATGGGTTTCATAGCTGCTATTAATGAAGAAGAACAGGTATTATGCCCGACATAAGTCTGTTTTTTCTTTTTAACATTTAAGTTGCTATATCATCTTGTTATAAACTTATACATGTATAATAAACATATTTTAAGAGTAAAATGTTTATAGTGTCACATATAATATTATATAGTTAAAGAAGTAAGTTTTATCTTCTAACTGAAAGTTTAACGAACTAGATAGCAATGTAGTAAAATACTTTAATGAATTAGGAAGTAGTATGTGAAAATAATTTCTTTGGCAATTCTGAAGCCTATTTTTATAGGCCACATAATGTATGTTTACCTATCATCAAAGTTACTTGGCAGATTTCTAACATGAATCTTAGCATAGGTTCATAAAAATTTTGCATAAAGAGTAAATTATAAATGTTTTTCCTATTTTTAAATACTCTAATGCACATTATTCATTTATACCTCAGAACTACGTTTTAAAACAGTGGTCTTCAGTGTATCATTCCTGACCAGCTTTACCTGGGACTTTTTAGAAATGCAATTATACTGCTGAATCAAACCCTCCAGGTGATTCTGGTGCATGGTAGAATTTGAGAACCCCTGGTATAAAATATACAGACTGGTAATTAATCCTCTCATTTGCATATTTGGAAGTAGATGTTCAGAGAGATTAGGTGACTTAACTTAAAAAGTCAAACAGCTGATAAACCTGAGACTAGAACCCAGGTGTAATTACTGCTGCTTCTTTTCTCTTTCTATATATCACTCTCAATACCAAATTGAGCAGCCTTAATTTATGTTAACTCACATATTGTTCCCTCTATCATGAAATATTCATTGTCTGTTCAGTGTTTACGTGACTTTGTAATTGCTGTTTATAGATGAGTTAACTTCAGCTATTTCCCTATAAGTTTGGCCTACTTCAAAAGCTCGTTAGAATAATGAGTAGCCATTTTATTTCATGGTAGTTGTACTGTCACTTGTTAAGATTTATTGCCAATGACATTTTTCTTGGTCAGTTCAATCAAAGAATTATTTATTGAAAACTTACTTTATACATAGAATAATACTAGACATTGTACATTTATAACATTGAATGAATTATCATTATTTTGGCCTAATGGATACATGGTTGGATAAGAGAGGTTTATAAATTATTATGAAACAAAAAAGAATATGATAACATCTATAAGAGAGGTACAAAGCCCTGTGAGGTTTTCATAGGAGAGTATTATATGTTAGGAGACCAGGAAAGGCTTAATGGAAGAGATGGCTTTTTATATGGACAAAGCAGGTAAATATGGTAGTGAGAAGAAACACAAAAGTAGACAGAATAAGCCAAGAGCATAATGGAGGGAAATACAGGGTTCAGAAGACATCAGATAATTCAGTTAAGGTAGAACATTAGGGTTTGTAGTATTCAGTTAAATAACCTTGTGGTTTATGATTTTATTTCTGCTTCTGTATGTGAGTGTGGTTTTTTTGTTTTGTGTTGTTTAATTTTAAAAGCTCTTTGGAATTTTGGATATACTCTTAAGTCTCCTACATACCAGCCCAACTAGAGGTCAACTTTTCTTACTGCTGTTTGAACCAGGAAATGCTGACATACTGTATGCCATGCTCTTAAATCAGAAGTATTCTGACCAACTAAGAGAAATCATTTTTAAGGTATAAACATTTCTTAAATGTCTCTATTTTTGGGCATTTGTGGGTATATGAATTTACTTGGAACATAGCCATTTTGTGAATGTAAATTCTTTTATCATATCTATCTAATTTTAAATTGTCAAATTTGTTTTGACATATTTTTCTTGTTTTTGTTTGCATATTAAAAAGCTAATTATATTGTAATCATTTCAGTGGAAAATGTACTTTGTCGTACCATCCTTAATATAAAACCTCTCATCTGCCTTTTGACTTATGATGGATCTACATGGCAGATCAATAACTAGCCTTATGTAGCACCCACTATTTGTGAGGCACTAAACACTTTTCATATACTAGCTTACTTAGTACTCACAACAACTTTATGAAGTGAATATTATCCCCATTTTATAGATGATGAAACTGAGGCAGAAAAATTTGTAGCTTGTCAAAGGATATAGAACATACTTTATTAAACCATCCAGAATATCCAAAACTTCAAACATTGCCTGAAGCCACCCACTCCACCTTTTTTTAGGTTAACTAAAAGGAGTCAGACATACGAGGTGTGATCAACCAATATGGTGAATGTTTAAATTTAAAAAAATTATTACAGTAAAAGACACATTACCATTAATCCCCCTCAGTATACCCCTCCTTGCTTCAAACACACTTATCTCATCATTCTTGCACCTTCTGAAGCAGTTCTGGAAGTCCTCTTTTGTGAGTGTCTTTAGTTGTGCAGTCGTGGCTGCCTCATTGTCTTGAAGCATTTTGACTTTGGGGAAGATTCAGAATTCACATGGTGCCAGATTAAGTGAATAAGGTGGATCTGTCAAACAACACACCATAACGTTTTTATTTGACAGAAATTGCTGTATCAGAAGCATTGTGTGACTTGGAGCCTTTTCGTTGTGATCAAAACTACAGTGAATGCTGCTGCTGAGTGCCATCAAGCAGAAAGACAGGAATCTTCAATACAGGAAGCAGTGCATCAAACCTTAGTAACTGTGTGTGACAAGCTTCAACTTGTTCAGTGCAGTCGGGTGTGAGCTATGGTTGAGAGAAGGTGTCTTTTAAAGTGTACTCTTAATCATTCTCCATCACGACACAACGCTCTGTGTCACACATTGCTTCTGGTATACGAAAATTTCTGTCAAATAAAAACATTACAGTGTGTCCTCATCCACCTTATTCACTGGATCTGTCACCATGCAACTTCTGGCTCTTCCCCAAAGTCAAAATGATTTAGGACATCGAGGTAGCCACAACAGCGCAACTAAAGACACTCATGAAAGATGACTTTCAGAGCTGCTTCAGAAAGTGGCAGGAACGATGGGATAAGGGTTATATTTTGAGGGGGATTAATGGCAATATTTCTTTTACTGTAATAAATTTTTTAAAATTTAAACATTCACTGTATTTTTTTATCACACCTTGTATTTCTGCCAAATACATTTTTTTTCATGATTTGTTCGCCTGTTCATTATGCCTAATTGCCATACAACAGTTGTTTCCTTTTACATCATTAGTGTTACATTATGAAGTCTACTTATGAGGTCATGTTTGGAATACCTGTTTGAAATCCTTAAACTTTGGAAAACAAAGATGCATTAAAAATGGTCTGGCCTAGTCTCTCTTGAGTATTGGTCATGGTGACTCCTGAGGCCACTCTTTAAAACATCTGCCCAAACAACTGTTCCTTTATGGAAATTAAATGTTATTTCTTCAAAAATGTTCTGGAAGGATTGTTCATATTAGTTTGTCAAGATTACCCTTTCCATATAGGGTTTCAGTATCTCACTTTGAAGAATGTTGATCTCACTACAAGAAGTATGGAGTTACTAATTCATTCTCCCATTTTAGCACATGGATGGGTTGCTTCAGAAAATGTTTTCTTGTTATTGAAAATTAGTTTGATAACTTACATAAATGGATTACTAAATTGATGTAGAAGTATCTTTGTTCTCTTTCAGAACACGCCTTTGTTTGTTTCTCTTGCAAGCTATAGGATTTGTTTCCGTCTATGCCTGAGCCGTTAAAAGAAAATCTTAAATTATTTCTTTCATCTGCCAAGAAATACATGTAAATTACAGTTTTTAACATATTAATTATGTGTGTTTCAGTCCAATTTATTTTTAAATCCACTTTTTAATGACAGTGTGATACAGAGTGCTCCTTATTAGTGCTGGATTATTATTTTTTTATATACTTAAGGAATAAAATTATGCCCCATAAACATCTTACACTACTATTTTATTCAATACTAACCTGACTGTTCTTAGTTCTCTATATTGAGAAGACTATATTATTATTGTGACCAGGTTATGGAACAAATGTTGAAATGCACGAATGTCTATGAACGAAGCAAACAACGTATTCGACTCAGAGAAGTTGGCTACTCAGGGTTGGGACTCCTTATCAGTGAATCACCTGTTAATACTTCTCTCATTAAAAACCTCACCAATCAAATCATAAATACAGGTATGACTACGGCGATAATGCTGATAAATTTTAAGAAATGTTCTTCATAGTTGTGTAATTCTATTTGATGGTTCTCAATACTTTTTTTCCTGAAGGCTCTTTTTCCCTCCTTACTCAGGTTGCTTTTTAAATTACCTGTTATTTGACTCAGCAGGGCTTTCCTTAGGTATTGTTTCTTATGTACCTTTGTTATGTCTCCCTAGGACAAAACACAATACCTTACTTAGTAGGCCCTCAGTAAATGTTTATTGACCGAGTGATTAGTAAATAATTCAGTCTGTATAACAAGAAAAGGACACTAGAGAAAATATGTATAAAATAGTATATCATTTTTCTTTATGGAGCTCAAATTCTTAAAGACAAAATTAAAACTAATTTCAGATATTCTTTGTTTTATAAACCTTTTTTTAGTGCATACTACAAACTGTAGAATTATAACAGATGCTGAGGGTTCAGAAAGGTATAAGTCTCTGTCTTGAGTGGTTTACCATCTTGTTGATAAGACAAAACATGTACATAAAAAAATAAATAATAGTATAAGTACCAAGCAGTATGGACAGTATGATCAGGCAACCAAAAGAAAAGAATAGTTATTTAGGGTTTACTATAGAATAGGTATAGATTCTAAACCTATTGTTTTTGTAAAATTTGAACATATCTATACTTTGTATTTAAAATCAAAATCATTTCAGCATTTATATAACTATTACCAACAGTTCTTTCTTTGAGAAAGAATTTGAGAAAAAAGAAGAAACCTGAAGGCATCACTCTTTCTGAGTTTAAACTATACTACAAAGCTATAGTAATCAAAACAGTATGCTGTGGGCGTAAAAACAGACACACGACCAATGAAACAGAATCAAGCCTGGAAGTGAACCTACATATATACAGTCAGCTAATATTTGACAATAGATCCAGGAATACTCAATGGTGATAATATAGTCTTTTCAATAAATGGAGTCAGGAAAACTGGGGATCCATATGCTAAAGAATAAAAACGACCTCTTATCTTACACTACTCACAAAAATTAACTCAAATGAATTAAAAATTTAAATGTAAGACTGTAGCCATAAAACTACTAGAAGAAAACATAGGGAAAAAGCTCCATGACATTTATCTTGGTGGTTTTATTTTGGGTATGATACCAAAAGCACGAGCAAAAAAGTCAAAATAAACAAGTGGGATTATAGCAAATTAAAAAGCTTCTGCACAGCAAAAGAAATGACCAACAAAATAAAAAGGCAACCTACAAAGTAGGAGAAAACATTTGCAAATCAGTATCTAATAAGGAGTTTTAGTATCCAAAATATATAAGGAAAGCATACAACTCAATATAAAAAACAAACAAAAAAACAAAAATGAGTAAAGGACCTGAATAGATATTTTTCCAAAGAAAACATCCAAATGGCGAATAGGTTCATGAAAAGATGCTTATCATCCTTAATTGTCAGGGAAATGCAAATCAAAGCCATGAGATACCACTTCATACCTATTAGAATGGCTACTATAAATAAGACGAAATAAGTGCTGGCGAAGATGTGGAGAAAAGGGAACCCATGTGCACTGTTGATGGGATTGTAAATTGGTACAGTCACTGTGGAAAAGGGTATGGAGGTTCCTCAGAAAATTAAAAATAGAATTCCCATATGATCCAACAATCCCACTACTGCATGTATATCCAAAGGAAATGAAATTACTATCTCGAAGAGGTCTGCACCCTCATGTTTTTGGCACCATCATTCACGATAGACAAGACATAGAAACAACCTAAGTGTCCGTTCATGGGTGAATGGATAAAGAAGGGGTGTGTGTGTGTGTGTGTGTGTGTGTGTGTGTGTGTGTAAACACACACACACTGGAATGTTAACCATAAAAAATAAGGAAATCTTGCCATTTGCAACATCATGGAAGAACCTGGAAAGCATTCTGCTAAGTGAAATAAGTCAGAGATAGAGAAGGACACATACTGTTAGGGTCTCATTTACACGTGAAATCCAAAAAGTTAGACTCAGAAAGAGAGTAGATTGGTGGTTACCAGGGTCAGGGGTGTGGGGGAAGTAGGTGAAGGTGGTCAAAGGGTGCAAACTTTTAATTATAAGATGAATAAGTTTGGGGATCTAATGTACAACATGGTAACTATAGTTAACAATACTGAATTGTATACTTGAAAGTTGGTAAGAGAGCAGATGTTAAATTGTCTCACCACAAAAAGAAAAATGGTAACTGTGAATTGATGGATATGTTAACAGACCTTATTATGGTAATCATTTTACAGTATAAATGTGTATTAAATCATCATATTGTACACCTTAAGCTTATACAGTGTTTTATGTCAATTATATCTCAATAAAGCTGGAAAAAAATAGAGGGCATCTGTTGTTGACAGCAAAAAAATAAAAGTGAAACAATTACTTTAGCGTTTATGTAACTATTACCTACAATTCTTGCTTTGGTTATCTCTGGAATTTGTTTTTAACTTTTTGTTTTTTTCCCACCATAGATCCTGCTATTAACTTCAAAGATCTGTTATCTGTGGTATATATATCTCACAGAACACATATAAATGTCAGAGCAGTCATCTGCAGAAAGGTTAGTAAACTTTTTAGATATACTTCAAAATAGCGGTATCGTTAGACTGTGAATAACTTTGAGTGTTTTGCACCAGATATAAGTTTTAATATCTGTTATTTTATAAATGACATAATTTTATGAATAGTTTCCTTTTTTTGAGGTCAGTTAGCTTCATGTACTCACAAGCAATCAGCATATGAATTTGTTCTTCTTAGCCCTACATGGGCTCCTGGGAATAGGCCTTTTCCGGAGTCAAGTTTATTACCAGAGAAGAGGTTTTTTTAAAATTAATAACTGCAATGATTATGACCATTTCTAATTCATATACCATATTTGAGAATTTCTGAATCTTCTGAACTTTGTGGAAAGAATTTTATTTAATTTGTTTATGAATAGTCCAGCAATGCTTTGCCTGCAGTGTACCCATTAACCTTTATCTAGGGCAACAATTAGTTTTCCCCCATACTTCTTCCTGATTATAACCTTCTTTCACCTCCAGTGGTAACCACTGACCTGTATAGCATTTAATGTGTTTCCTGCTTTTCTTTTGTATTAATATTTACTTACTAATTGTGTCACAGCATTTTTCAATCAGTAAATATGCATATATATCTTTCACTTTAATGACCGCATAGTTTTTAAGTTTTTTGGCTATCCATCTTTGTTGATGGAATTTAGGTTGTTTCCTCTTTCTCCATGTCAGTAAACTACTGTGAAGAACATTTTTTTTTTACATATGTCTTTATCCATTTGTGGTAATCCATCTGTAGTACGTAATCCATGAAATAGAATTGCTGTGTCAAAGGGTATTCACATTTTACATTCTGTTGTCCTTGAAGCAGCCCATGTAAATGGATCCTTTCCTTTCAATGTGCAATTAGAAACAGCTTTCAGTGCAGCCTCGTTTTTATCCATTATTTGTATATTAAAAATAATAATATGTCTTATTTTATGTAAAATTGAAAGTAATGAAATCCCGAAAAGTTTCTTTGTCAAGCAAAGCTTAATCTGGAAGGAAAAAGAATTGGTATTCTGCACCTGTGGAGTAATGGGAGCTCACTGATTGATAGTATTAGTGAAGAAAGAAACTTCTTATGTTATTGTGACTCATTACTTTCTATGTCAGCATCAGTGTATTAATAATGTTGAAGTCCCTACCAACATTATTCATCTCCTGCTATGAAACTTGTCACAGTTAGAAATTCTGATAGATGAGATACTTTTAACACTGGGAGCCAAAGTTCTTTTCATCTGCATAAAAGTTTATTGGCTTTGTGTTAAAGATCTTAACTGAATTTCTGACAGTGTTTGAGACCTTGTTTTTATTCTAAAGAAATGTGAAGTCAGTTGTATAGTGGAGATCATACACATTGCCATGTCAGTGTGTACTCTTTAATTTTAGTTTCTTATTCTTGCTAAACAGCAGCATCCATCTATCTTATTGGAATTAGTTTTGGGGATTAAAGTTTAGTTTGTGTTTTGTTTGTACAATATAGAGTTAATAGAAAAAATGGTTTTGTAAAGGCAACCATTGACTTTGCCTGGAAAAAAAAATGAAATGGGAAAGCATTATTCTTGGGGCATTTAGATTCTATTAAAGTGTCTTGTGTGTCCTGTTTACTCCCCTAACCCTAGTGCCAGAACTGTTGCACATAGTTGGGTTGTCGGAAAAGTCATGACGCATTTTTGCAATGAAAAACAGAAAAAATACGTCATGACTTTTCTGACAACCCAATAGATGTTCAGTATTTGCTGAACAAATGTGATACTCATGGAAAGTATTAAGTGGATATAACTTTATTATATCTTAAATATCTCTTCTATTTATGTTTTCTCTCTGACTAAATTAAATTAATAGCATAAGTGTGTTGACATGTGGAGGGTCATTTATCTTTTTTTCCTTTTTTTTATCTTTTAGCAAATATTGGAGTACATCCTTACTCTGCACAATGAGTTTTATGCAGATTAATTATAATCACAGTGTCTGCTCTCCTAATAATTTCTAATCCAGTTAAAAACATAATCTTTTAAAATATACCCTCCGAAAGTTTCTCATTAAGTTCTTTTGTCAATAAAATAACTGAAGAGAAATTGTTTTTGATATAAAGTACTGTGTAAATTTTGACGAATTTTTGTGTTCTTAATTTCCTTACAGATTTTACAGATTTTACAGTCCCAGCCAGATGCAGCACATCAAATATCTCAACAAGTGGGTTGGCAAGACACTTTAGTTAAGCTTTTTTTAAAAGTAGATTTTGAAAATGGAAATACTGTTCATAAGCACAATAGGGCTGTCTTAGCGAAAGACAATGATAAAAATATATCAGCTGAAGACACTAAGAGGAACTTCGATGAAAAGACAGATGATGAAAAAATCAACTCTTTTGCCTCAGCTAACGTGTCTTCAGATCAGTGGAGCTTGGAGGACAGACACTCTCTAGATTCAAACACACCATTATTTCAAGAAGATAGCTCTGTGGGAGAATTGTCTTTCAAATCAGAGAATCAAGAAGAATTTTGGCACAATAACCCTTCACATTTGAGTTTAGATCTGAGTGGAATTGATTCATGTGAACTGAGTGATAGTGGAACTCAAATGCCAGACAGCTTGCCTAGCACGCCATCCCCAATAGAGTCTACTAAGCCATTTTCTGTGCAGTCTGACAGAGAAAGCAGCATCACAAGTGATACAGGCTTTAGTGATGACTTCTCTTTACTTGAAAGCCAAGAGGTAAATTACTTATTTGTCCAAATAAGTCCATAAAAGCTGTTTTTATTTTTATATGTCTATTTTATACTTCTAATCTTTCGAAATGTGTAATTGTTAACAATTTCTTATTCGTGTTGTTAGAAGCCTATAAGTTACTAAATTGTGAATGTCTTGCAAGCAAAGCCAGAGTCTTACTCATCCTTGTATCTCTAGGACCTACTTAGTAAAGTTCCAGGTTCATCTAGGTACTTTAATAATATGTTAAAGGATTACAATCAGTATATGTTATAGACCTTATTATGTGCTTTTAACACTCCCTCCAATGATTTAATATTTATATTTTTAATAGAAATGTGAGGAGGATCTTCTTCAATTGCTGACAGATATTTTGAACTATATAATGTGTAAAGGACTAGAAAAGTCTGATGATGATACCTGGATTGAACGGGGACAAGTGTTTTCGGCACTAACTAAATCAGGAACATCCAGTGAGCTGCTTCGACCATCAGATGAGATAAAACTAATGTAAGCATTCACTTGGTGACTTCCCCTTTCCTTTTGGAGTGGGTAGGAGTCTAAAATAATATTTGTTAATTAAACATTTATTCAGTGTTCAATGGGTAGAGAGAGAGAAAAGGAGAAACTTTGTGCTTGGCCCCTTTTCTATCTGTTGCCATTCAAGTGGTATCTGGAGAGAAATCCAAAACTAACTTTAATGTGAAGAGATTTAAATCTTAAATTAATTTGAGTTTTAAGTGATTATATATTCTTGTTGTTTAAATTGTTTTCTGCAATTGGTGTGTTGTGTTTTACAGTCTTGTCCAAATTTGAGTGTTTCCATGCTAAGGGAAAGGAATAGTGTTTTCATGAAAATTACTTTTGTAAAGCATTGAGTTCCCTGTATATGATAGAACATTGTAATAATAGCACAGTAGGAGAGAATTACTTCTTTGTTTTTCCACAGATTAGACCCACTGTAAGGCATAATGAAGCTTTCTTTTCTAACCTTTCCAATTTCAGCTTTAAAGAAACATTAAGTTATCTCATGGAGACTGGAATGTGAATTAGTTTCATAGCTTTTTTATAGTCAACAGGTATATTAAAAATAGATACTTCAAAGATTAAAATGTTGCTTCATTGTTTTAAAATTCTATCCAAATATTTTATGATACCTGGCAGTAAGAGTGTATCTTTGGAGATACAATCCTATTAATAAATAACTGTTCTTTTTTTCATATCCTATTTTTCCAAACTTAAAATGGTTTTACAAGGTCTTTATTTTATACTTAGTTTGCTGCAGAAGATGTTAGAATGGGCAGTCACAGAAAACAGAGAAGCAAAAACTAATCCAGTAACTGCTGAAAATGCCTTCCGACTCATGCTGATCATACAGGACTTTCTGCAGTCAGAGGGACTAGTTAATTCAAACATGTGGACTGAGAAGGTGCAGTAATATCTCTTTGAAATTATTTCTGTGGCAATGAAAGACTTTATTTAATAAATAAAGAAATTTTGTACCCCTTTTTAGATATATACTTCTTTATTATTAAATTTATTGGGGTGACATTGGTTAATAAAATTATACAGGTTTTAACTGTACAGTTCTGTAATATAATAATACATCATCTATATATTGCATTGTGTGTTCACCACTCAAATCTCCTTCCATCACCATATATTCAACCCCCTTTACCCTTTTTTACCTCTCCCTCTCCCCCTTTAACCTCTAGAAACCTCTAAACTGTTGTCTATGTCTATGAGTTTTTGGTTGTTTGTCTTGTTCATTTGTTGCTTTCAGTTTTATATTCAACATATGAATGAAATCATATGGTTCTCAACTTTTTGTGTCTGACTTGTTTCGCTTAGCATAATAATCTTAAGATCCCTCCATGTTGTTGCAAATGGCAGTATTTCATCTTTTCTTATGGCTGAGTAATATTCCACTGTATATATGTACCACATCTTTATCTAATCATCTATTGAAGGACACTTTGGTTGTTTCCATGTCTTCACCACTGTGACTAATGCTGCAATGAACATAGCAGAGCATTAATATTTAATCAGATGCAATAAATCATGGATAATGTGATAGTCACAGATTTTGTTAGCTGTTACTAGGATAATTCTTTTGGCTTTTACGAATTGTACACTGAACTAGTTTTGAAATATTTATAACTTGGATTACTATGGGGAAAACTCATCATCAGTAGATTAAAGAACTGTGGGGAAAACTCATCAGTAGATTAAAGAACTGATTTCTTTTTTAATTTTTCTTTTGTGATAGCTTTTAGAGGATATGATGATGCTCCTTGACTGTCTGTCAGTTTGGTATTCAGAAGATGCAGTATGGGTAAAACTCTCTCAAATTCAAATCCAGTTGCTTCTAGGATTTATTGGAAGGGGTAATTTGCAGGTTTGTCAATTCTTTTATATTATTTTCTATACTTGCTTGCAGCATAGGAATTATTTGTGTGATAAGTAAATGATAATAAGTTTTCAGTATTATAATTTTTTATTCCAAAAATATCTATGAATTCATTCTAGTTCCAGTTTTGTGAGATTAGAAAAAAGCTTAAGAGGCAGCTAATTATTTCTTCCTGATATTTATGACTCAGTATAATTTTAAAATTTCCTTTTAAAGAATTTATACATAGCTTATATTAGAAGGCATTACTCATATCATCTATATTTAGTGCAGCGAGGAGCTGTCCTGCTTGCGTAGACTATTTATATGTGTGCAGTTTAGGGCTTGCATTTTTAGAAAAATTATTTTTTAAGTTATTCCTTTCAGAATCTTTTTTGTTACTTTACTAATTTACTAATCCAGTTTTAACATTCTATTTTATATTGTTTCATTCATCAAACACTTACTGAATACCTACCAAATATTAGCATTGTGCTAGGTTTCCAAAATAAAGAGAAACAAAATATGGACCCAAGGAATATTTATTATTTCTATTTTAAATTAAAAATACTTAAGCATGTGAATTTTAGTCTATTCTCATTATATTTACATTGGATACTTAATGATTACCAGGGCTGGATTAGCCATGACATGTATCCCATAGCTATTTACCTAGATGTTTTTATTTTCCTTTGATATTGGAATTTTAAGTACTTACAGTTAAGGGAGTCTGGGTGAAAATAGTTTCTAATATACATAAATTTGCTATAATGTTGATAAGAGCCTGAAGAGTTTAAAATTCCATAAGATTGCTCCATTTTAAGAAGGTCATACTTTTCAACAGATATTTTTTTTCTAATCATAAAAGTAACACATGCTTATTGTGGAAAATACACAAAAACATAAAGAAAAAATAACTCATTCATCATCTCATAGCTTAAAAGAAAATGTCAATATTTTAATATTTTTTCTGTGCATATATTTTTTCAGATGATTGAAATCCTATCTTTTGATGATTTTGTGTTTTTTCTTTCTCACAATTATATCAAACTCATTTCCCCATGTTAGTAACTTTTTAAATATAGTTTTTTCATAATCTTAAAAGTAACACATTTTCATTATAGAAAACAATGCTGAAAAGCTAAACAAGAAAATGGGCATTGTGATACATGGATAGTGGAAGTTTGAATTGTACAGCCTTTCAAATGCAATTTGAAAATATTTAAGCTAAGAACTTTAAAAGAAATGATTATACTCTTCGTTTAGTAATTCTACTCCGAAGCTAAGGTAGTAATGTAAAATACCAATGATCTTTTTACACAGATGTTCATTGTAGTATTCTTCTTCCCTCTACCTAGAAGTAGAATGAGGATAGCTGTTTTGGTTTTTTCATCAACATTAGCCTGATGGCTGTTAAAGCAGTTGCAGCCAACATACTGGATAGTTATTTATTTTTTATTCTAGATATTTGGACTCTATTTTGTTCTACTTATAGTCACCCTTGGTGTTTTTCTCCTTGATGAAATTTCACTAAATAAAATGTCTGTTTAATTTGTTCAACGTTAAATATCCAGTGCCCGTCCTGTAGTAGGGCTCTCTAAATACTAGTTAAATGAGCTCACACCTACAGATAAGAATGATCCTATCTACCAGTAATCAGTGATCTAAAACATATTTCACTAGCTAGTTGTTTAATTTCATTCTTTCAGAAACAAAAACATATATCCTTGAGGTTGTGCATGGTAAAAGCTAGGAAAGGAACCTCTTTCCTTGAAGAGATTTAAACAGAGCTGCCTGCAAAATGAATCTGGCTAGCAAACTTCTTTTGTTTGGCATATACGTATTAGCTAATCGTCAGTATTTAAGTATTAGGAAATTTTACATAAACGCCAAGATTTCCCAGGTTGTCTCTAAAGTGGGACTGGGTGGTTGTTTAGATATGCTGCATTGATTTAGATGCAGTATATGGCCTCCATTTTGTCTGGGTCCCTACTCCTCCCATTGTCTTAGCTCCACCAATGGTGATTCTCATCACTGGCTGCACATGGAATCTCCTAGAGGAGCTTTTTATAAATACCTTTGTAGGGCATTGCCATAGTAATTAAATCAGAAAGGGGGAACTAGGGCCTCAGTATTTTTTGTATTTTCTCAGGTGACCCTAATACAGTACTCTTCATGATGGGGTGAGGGGCTATCATATTTATGTGTGTGTAGTGTGTGTTTGTATCCAAAATTCAGGAAGTGGTCAAGTAAATTATTTGTATTCATTAAACGTGTTTATTACTTTTAAATAAACATAGTTTATTTAATACCATGATACTAAGTTAAAAGCAAAGCACTGAATGTTCTGTTTTTTAATAAACAGTATTTTAAAAAACACTTAGCAAAGAAACCAGAATTAGTATTGATATTTCCTAGAATTTGAGAAAATATATTACTTTTTTTCTTACATTTGTTGGCCTCTGTTAGAATTAATCTGTTTTATTCAGATTCAAAGACTAAAGTGAAGGAATTTGGAGAAAACCTGAGGAGGATAGAGAAGCTTCATTAGTAGAAGCTAAAGTTAAAAGTAGAAAAGTTAAGGTTTTGCTCTGTTATAGATATTGTTTCCCCCAAAACTGTTTGCTGCTTTCAGGCTTGCATGGAAACAGTGCCTGTGGTCTCTCCTTTGTTGTCTTGGCTGCAAAGACCTGTGCATACAGTTCAGGCCAGCTTTTGGCACAGATGCGTTCTTGAAGTGATGTCATATTCTAATACTTTATTTTTTTTCTCTTTTGTTTATTTTAAAAATTAAGATCCAAAATTGGGATGTAGAATTAAAGGAGAAGGAGGCACTTTATATCATTTGTTCTGCTATGGTTTTAAGGCTTAGATCTTTGTCTAGCCTAGATCAAAGGAGGCCCCTTTGTGACCTAATTTGCCTTTGTATGTTGGAGTTTAAGGCCAAAGCTTAATTGTAATACAGAGTATAACTTTGTATGGGTTTGTGTCTGGAATATGTATTTTCTTTGGAAACTTTAAGGGTAATTAGATTTGTTTTGTCAAGGACTTGGGTCTCCTATGTACTTGTCCTTTATGTGCCAGAATGTTTTTGCATCCAATTAACAAAAATATCAACTCAAACTAACTTAGTTAAGATTTATTGGCTTGTATAGTTGAAAATTCCATAGTTATGATGAGTTTTTAAATCATGATTCACTCAAGGTTTCCATTATATTTATTTGCTGTTCTTATAGCACTGCAGGTTTGTTTTACTGTCCAGTATAATAATAATAATGTCTTCTTCCCAGGAAAAGTTCAGGCATGCTTACTGCCAATATAAAAGATTTGGGTTTCCTATGCTCGGGGTTCCTCTCCTGTAATGCAACCACTGTGTGTGCAGGCATCATCTAGTCCTGTTCATCTCTCACAATGGGGATTGCAATTTGGGAAATCACAGTAAATGCTGATGTTCTGGCTATTGCTGATGCCGTAGATTTTTGTCTCTGACCCAGGGGTCTCATGTCTTCTCCTAGTATCTATGAAACTATGGTAGGCTAACTTGTTAGCTTGGTGGTAAGGTAAATTCTGAGATCCTTCATAGTTCTTGACAGTGATTATATAAATGTCCTGAACTTGCACTAATAAGGCTAACCCTGAATGCATCCCTGTGACAATGACGTGAGTTGACTGAAAAATGAGTTACCTAAACCAGTCAGTGTGGCAAGGGGTTGACACACAGTTAGGCTTATTTATAACCTTTTGGACCTATTGGAACTAGAGATGGAATCATCCCCCTATCCTTGCAGACTATAAGAAGGAGTGGGATGGATGTTGGGGTGATTAATTATCCACCACGACTTTTCTGTATATTTCAAATTAAACATGTGTTACTTCTATAATTTGTTAAAAAACAACAACAACAACAACTTCAATAAGAGCCAAAGAACTTCTGCTGTCACTAAATGTCTGCTTCATTCTGCTCTTTCTCACCTGTTTTCTCCAGGTTTGTGCAATGGCATCAGCTAAGCTCAACACCCTTCTTCAGACCAAAGTGATTGAAAATCAGCTGGAAGCATGTTATATTTTAGGGAAGCTGGAACATGTTCTAAGTCAATCAATCAAGGAACAGACAGAAATCTATTCATTTCTGATTCCCCTTGTCCGTACCGTGGTTTCCAAAATTTATGAGCTTCTTTTCATGGCTTTGCACCTGCCTTCATTACCTTTTACCAATGGTAGCTCCTCATTCTTTGAAGATTTTCAAGAATATTGCAGCTCAAATGAATGGCAAGTTTACATTGGAAAATATGTAAGTTTTATCTTTTTTGAGTGAGATTTTTCTAATAAATTATTTTTTATAGAAGTATATATTAAATTATATATACATATATTGTTTTTTAAATAAGATTGTACCTTATATGAAGCAGTATGAAGCCCATACATTTTATGATGGTCAGGAGAACATGGCACTTTATTGGAAGGATTGTTATGAAGCCTTAATGGTGAATATGCATAAAAGAGACCGGGAAGGAGGAGAAAGCAAACTGAAGTTTCAGGTAAAAATTGTTAAGTGCTTTAAGTATCTAGTTTTTTAATGTTGATTTTAAGCATTTAATATTCAAATAAGAGTAATAGCAATTCTGAACATTGAAAACAAATAGTATTTCCTATTGTTTATCTGAAAAGTATTTCAGAATTGGAAGAAAAACATTGATCAGTAAAAGAAATTTAATGTCAAAACGTTCTATCCATAGTGATTATGTAAATAGTCTATTAAGCTGATAGATATCTCTGAGGAGTCTGGGTATAAATCAGTGCTTAGAGAGACATTTATAGCATAAAATATTTATATTACAAAGAAACAAAGGACGCAAATTAATCATTTAAGTCTCCACCTAACAAACTAGAAAAAGAAACCTAAACCTAAACTAGAAAAAGAAACCTTGATTAGAAACTAATCAAGGGCTGGCGAGTGGCTCATTGGTTAAGAGTTGGCTTGGGAGCAGGAGCTCTGAGCAGCAGGGCCGCCGGTTTGGATCCCACATGGGCCAGTGACCCTGCGCCCTCTACAGCTAAGATGGTGAACAACAGCTCAACCTGGAGCTGGGCTGCTGTGAGTAACTGGGAACGGTGTAGGCTGCAGTGGGGCTGCAGTGGGCTGCCGTAACCTACCGTGAGTGGCCGGCAGCCAGTGTGAGCAGCCAGTAGCTGTGAGCTGCTGTGAGCTCCTGTGGGCGGCCGTCCAATGGCTGACGACCCATCTGCCTCAGCCGGGAAGAATGCAATGATAATACCAACAAGGGCCAGTAAAGCGATGTCCTCCACAACTAGACTAAGAACTGAAAGGACAGTAACTTGTCTGTCCCTTTCCCTGATTCTCCAATGCTGTTCCCTCCCCCAATTCCCCAATAAAATCTTTATTAAAAAAAAAAAAGAAACTAATCAAGAGTAGCAATCAATGAAATTGAAAGTAGAAAAACAATAGAGAAAATCATTCAAACCAAAATCTAGTTCTTCAAAATATCAATAAAATTGATAAGTTTCTAGCCAGATTGACAAAGCAAAAAAAGGAAAGGGAAAAATTACTAATACCAGGATTGAAAGGGAAGTTATCACTACTGACTCTGCAGACATCAACATGATAATAAAGGACAACTCAAACCAATCTGTCCACATTAATAAGATGACATAAATGCAATGGATCAATTTCTTGACAAATACTAATTTCCAAAAATAATTCAATAAGTAGATAACCTGGATAGTCCTCTATTAAAGAAGGTGAGCTTATAGTTAAAAAAAAACTACCAAAAGGGAAAAACTATTCCAGGTTGTTTCACTGGAATATGTTATCAAACATTTAATGGAGAGATTCCACCAATTCTTCACAATCTCTTTAGAAAATTGAAAAGTATCATCATTTCCCAACTCATTATATGAGGGCAATATTACCTTTATATTGAAACCATACAAAAATAGTATAAGAAAACTACAGACCAATATCACTGAGGAATGTATATGCAAACCTAATCCAATAATACATAAAAAGTAATACATCACAACCATATAGAGTTTATCTTGGGAATATAAAGCTGGTTCAACATTTGGTAATTAATATAATGGACCACATTAATAGACTTATCAAGAAAAACTACATGATCTTATCAGCAGTTGCAGAAAAAGTATTTGACCAAAAATTCAACATTTTTTTTTTTTTTTTTCTAGTAGTATCCT